GTCTAGGGCGGCGGGCGGCGGCCCCGCCGCGGGGGCGGCGGCGCCGGGGCTGCTCGCTGGGGCTGCGCGGCGGAAGCCTGTTGCCACAAACGGCGGCAGATCACTTGCGGCCGGGATCCTGGTGCAAAAGTTTGCGGTGTTTGTGGACGTTAAGGCATGCATTATGGCAATCGCACGATGATAGGCCTGGGAGGGAGGCGCCAACGGCAGCTGCGCGGCAGCTGTGCCAAAGGTGACTGCACGCCCGCCACTGCCACGCTCCAGAAAACGCTCCGCAGACAAGGCAATGAGCAGCGCGGCCACGCAGCACCCCTCGCGGCCCGCCGGCCTGCGCACCTGAACTCCCGCCCCGCCAGCACCGTAGGCCGCGCCGGCTTGTCTGCCGCGTCCCCGAAAAACGGCTCACGGTGAACGACCTCAAACAGCCCCATCCGCCCCATGTCGGCGACCGCCTCGCCCGGCGGCGGCGGGCGCGCCCGCGGCCGCAGCAGCACGAGCCCCTGCGTCCCCCGCCGCGGCTGCTGCTGCTGCTGCTGCTGCTGCAGGATGGCGGCGGCAGCGGCGTTCGCGCTGGCAGGTTGGGTGGAGGGCGGCGAGCGCTGTTCGAGCTGCAGCGAGGAAGTGGAGGCGCCGCCGCCATGCCCGCCGGCGCCACCGCCAGGGCTGGTGACGCCGCCCCTGCTTGGGGCTGTGAGGCGCTGCGGCGGCCCCATCGATGTGGTCTGGCTGCGCTGTATCTCCAAGTGCTGCTGTTGCTGCTGCTGCTGCTGCTGCTGCTGCTGCTGCTGCTGCTGCTGCTGCTGCTGCTGCTGCTGCTGCGGCTGCCAGGGCGCCGGCACCGGCGCCGGCTGCTGCTGCTCTTGCTCATGCTGCTCGCTCGAGAGCGGCCCAGAGGGCGGCAAACTCAGGACGCCGCTGCCTCGAGGGCTCTGTGCGCTGCTCACCGGAGCTCCCCTCACGCCGCTGGCCGCGCCCTGGCTGCCGCTGTGCGCTGAGAGGCGCAAGTTGAGGCTCGGCTCGCTTGTGATTGTGGACGCACCATCTGTGGTGGGTTCACCCATGTGCTCCCGGCGCTGTTGCTGCTGCTGCTGCTGCTGCTGCTGCTGCTGCTCTGCCACGTACGGGCCCCCTGCCTGCTGCTGCCCCACCCCGCGCAGCGCACGCCGCTCGGGCGTCGGTGCTGCTTGTCGCAGGGGGGTTGGTTGCGGAGGCGGCTGCTCTGCCCATGGCCCAGGATCCTCAGCAAAATCAAGAACCTGGGTCGGGTCAATGGACACCTCGCCATCGTGGCTGGCGGACGGGGTGCAATCACCCTGCTGAGACACCCGCTGTGGCGTCTGCTGTTGCTGCTGCTTCTGCTGCTGCTGCTGCTGCTGCTGCTGCTGCTGCTGCTGCTGCTGCTGCTGCTGCTGCTGCTGCTGCTGCTTTGGAGCTGTCGCGACACCGCCAGCGGCCCCTAGCTCCTCAAGCAGCCTAGGGCACTCCAGGAGTACGTCGCCGCACGCCTCGGCCCCTGCCGCAACCGCGGCAACGGCCGCCTCAGACGCTGAACGGGGCCCAGAGAGGAGCCGCGGGCTCGGCGGGCCGGATCCCTGCTGCGACGCCGGCCGCGCCGCTGCGCCAAACTCAAACTCCTCGTCCGCGGGCGCCCTTAACCCTGGTCCAGCGGCGCTCGCGCCGCGCGGGCCCCTTCCGTCGCCGCGTCCGCCGTCCTCCAGATCACTCTCGGGTCCCAGATCGGCCGCCGCCGCCCCCAAAACGCCGCCTCCCGGATCGCCGCCGTCGGGCGCGTCCAAGAGCATCATGTCTTCATCGGTCTGGAGGTCCTCCTCCAATAAGATGTCCCACAGAGGGCTCCCCAGCGCGCCGCCTCCAAATACGCCGGCCCCCGCGCCCCCGCCGCCGCTGCTGCCGCCGCGGAGGGCGCGGGGCATGCCGCCGCCCGCAGGCCCGGGGGCGGTGGTACGCGCCGGCGGCCTGAAGAGGCCGGAAACCACACGCGGCTGGGCCAATGATTGGAGCTGTGGGGCGCGCAGGGGCGCGGGCTCGATGCGAGGTGGTGCGGGACGGGCTGGCGGCATCTGTGGAGCCGAATCGTCCGCCGCGGCTTCCGCCTGCCACCCCTCGTCGTCCGCGGGGCCGTCGGATTGGGGTATCCGCGCTTGCGGCCGCTGATGCCGCTGCTGCTGCTGCTGCTGCTGCTGCTGCTGCTGCTGCTGCTGCTGCTGCTGCTCCTCCTGCCGCTGCTGCGGTGGCAGCTGCGCCTGCTGGCTGGGCTGCTGCGACGGGCTGGCCTCCTGCTGTGACTGCGTGAGCATGTCCCTAGCAGACACAACTGGCGGCACCTCCTGCCCCATGGCGCGCGAACCCCCGCGCCAGGTGGGCTCCGGCGCTTGCGGCGTCCCCAAAGCGGGGCGCGGCTGCACAAACAGCTGCGCTCGCGCCGAGAACCTGCCCACAGGCGGGCTGTGGTGCTGCTGCTGCTGCTGCTGCTGCTGCTGCTGCTGCTGCTGCTGCTGCCCATGCCCCTGCTCAAGCTGCGTGCTTGCAAGGCCGGGGGTGCCGAAACCCAGGTCATGGGCAGCACTCCCTTGCTGGAGGCGTGGCGAGCCGCCCGCTGCGGCAGCCTCGGCGTCTTGACTGAGAACATCAAACCCTTTCAGCCGGCTCGAAGGCGAGGGCGTGAGCACAAGCCGCACCTTGCCCGCAGAGGGCGGGCCCGGGCTCGGCGCGCGCCCCGGCGGCCGGCGGCGCTGTCCACTGCCAGCAGTCCCCTGGCGGGAGACAGCAGCGCCGCCGCTGCCCGCGGCGCCGGCGGCGGCGGCATCGGCGCCGCGGCCGCGGCTCTGCGGGGTTCCGCACACAGCGAGGAGCGGCTGCGTGCTTGGCAGCTGCTGGGTAGCTTCCACGCTGCCGTCGGCCCCGCTCCCGCCGCTGATGGCGTCGCTGTCGTCGCCCTCACCCTCGCTGCACCCGCTGCCGTCGGTCCGCTCGTCTTGTGGGCCCCCGTCATCGTCGCTGGCGCCACCGCCGAGCTCGTCGCCGCCGCCGCTGCCGGCCTCGTCAAACTCATCCATGACATCATCTGTGAGGTCTGATCGTGTCGGGCGCCCGCTCAGCTGCCGCTGCGGCGAGGCCCAGCCGTCGGCCCCCGCCTCCTCAGCGCCGCCGCGCTCAGAGCGCTCCTCGACATGCGGCACTGGCTCGAGCTGCGGCCGGGCGTGTGCGTGCCAACGGTCGTCTGAGCGCGGCGGCTCGTCTGGGCCGTCGACAGCCATACCTTCAGGTTGCTGTGGCTTCTGCAACTCGTCCTCACCGCACTCCTGTACCTCTGCGTGCTGCTGCTGCTGCTGCTGCTGCCCCTGCTGCTGCTGCTGCTGCTGCCCCTGCTGCTGCTGCTGCTGCTGCTGGCCCTGCTGCTGCTGCTGCTGCTGCTGGCCCTGCTGCTGCTGCTGCTGCTGCCCCTGCTGCTGCTGCCCCTGCTGCTGCTGCCCCTGCTGCTGCTGCCCCTGCTGCTGCTGCTGCTGCTGCTGCTGCTTTCCACGCTGCTCATAGGCCTCAAGGCATTGCAAGGCCCAGTCCATTGCCGCCTCCTCATCCTCATCCGCTTCCGCCTGCTGCTGCTGCTGCCTTTCCCTGTCCTCCACCACCTCTTCCTTGCCATGCTGCTGCAACTGTTGCTGCGGCTGCTGTCGCGACTGCTGCCGACGCTCCTCAACCCCCTGACCTCCATCATGCAACGCCTGCCAGGGCCCCTGCCCCTCCCCCTGCACTCTTCCGGCCCTGTCCTCTTCGTCCTCCTGCCCCTCCTGCGCGATGGCCGCCCGCTCGCCGCCACTGCTCGAGCCGTGGCTGCGGCTACGCCGCTTGCGGCCCCGCGGCCGCCGCCCCCGATCAGGCTCGTCGGCGCCGTCGTTGTCCCCGCGCTCAGGGGCCCCACTCAGGTCGCCCAGGGGTTCAGCCTGTTCTTCAGCCCACCAGCCGTTTCCAGCCCTGACCCCTCCGTAGCCCCCGTCATCAACGCCACCCCCGCTGCCGCAGCAATAAGCGTTCAGCGGCGAGCCAAACAGCCGCATCGCCGGCGCAGGGCTGCTGCTAGGGCTCCACGCGGCGCGGCCCTGCGGCAGAAGGGGCTGCCCCTGCTGCTGCTCTGGCAGGGCGTGGGCGCGCTGAGTGGAGGGGGCGCCTGGGGTGGAACAAGGGGCAAAGAGCGGGATCAGGATATGCAGCCAGGCCCGTTGTTCATACCGCAATCGTGCGAGAGCCGACAGGTGACCTGTATTATTCCCTGCTAATGCACACACGCATGCATGCATACCGTTGCGCGGCTGGCGTGCCTGATGATCGGGCATGCAAGCAGGCTGAGGGGTGGGGGTGGGGTGACGTACGAACTGCCTGCCGCCGCTTCCCCTGTGTGTGCTGCAGGATTCAAACCACCCCACAAACCCTGTGCCTGGGGGCAGCTCTGCTGCCTACCTATAGCCTCCGCCAGCGCCAACAGAGGGTCGTCCTCATCTGGAATGTGAGCAGCCTCATGGCGCGCCGCCCTGACTACGCCAGCGCCGCCGGCGCTGGCCGGGCTGCGGATCTGCGAGTCCGCGCCCCGCTGCTGCCGCCGCGCGCGCCGCGGCGTCCGCCCCGCGCCGCCGCCGCCGCCGCCGCCGCCGCCGCCGCCACCGCTGCCGCTGCCGTCGTCTGCCTCCTCCTCATTCTCCTCATCCGAGCTCTGCCGCAATGAGCCGCCGCCGCCGCCGCCGTCGTCCTCGCTCCCCCAGTCGCTGCTGCCACCCTCGTCAATGTCGTGCCCGGCCGCCGCCTCGGCCTGCGGCGGCACCCATGCTGGGCGCCAGGGACGCCCCTGCGAGGGCTGCGACAGTCGGCTCTCCCGCCGCGCGCGCCGCTGCTCCTGCAGCTGAGTCAGCATTGCCACGTCCACCAGCGGTTGATCGCCATCGCCCCCGCCCGTCTCGGGCGGCGAGAGCAGCCAGCTGCCCGCGCCGCGGCCGCCGCTCATGCCGCTGCCGCCCTGCTGCCTTCGTGGCGCCTGCCACGGCTGCTGGGGGCGGGGCTGTTCGTCCATGGGTGTATCTGCCACCACATCCGCGCTCGGGCCTGGCGTGGCCTCGAACTGTGACAACAACGGCGCAGCCACCCCCGCAGCCTGCAAGCCCGCGCCTGCCTGCGACCCCAGCAGCAGCAGCGGCAACGGCGACGCCACCGCCGCGCCCTCCGCGCCGGCCGCCGCGTTGGCCGCGGCCGCGGCGGCCACGAGCCGCGCCCGCAGCAGCCGCGCGGCCGCCGCCTGCGACGGCAGCGGCTGCGAGGCGACTTGCGAGGGTGGGGTGCCGAGCTGGCCGCGCAGCGGCTGGCGCTGAGAGCCTGGACGGGCTGCCCAGGCTGGCGACACGAAGTCTCGTGCCTGCCATGGTGCCCCCAGCAAATCAGGCGGGCCGCCAGTCGCCCTTTCCACTGCTGCCGGCCGCATGGCCCCATCCTGGCTGTTTGCTGCGGGCAGCGGAGTCTCTGGTACCACATCCTCGTCGTTTGCCTCGAAGCCCGGTGCAGAACGTCCTGAAGCCCCCTGCTCTTGCTGATGCTGCTGCTGCTGCTGCTGCTGCTGCTGCTGCTGCTGCTGCTCGTCCTGCTGCTGCTTCTGCTCTTGCTGCTGCTGCTGCTGCTGCTGCTGCTGCTGCTGCTGCTGCTGCTGCTGCTGCTGCTGCTGCACCTGCCGCGCCTCATCCTGCAGCCGCCCCAGCCAGCCACCATGCCGCCGCGACACCGCCCGCAGCTCCTCCCGCGTGCTCTCCACCGCCGCGCACAGCGTCGCCGGCGCGCGCGGCGGGGAGCGCGGCGGCAGCGGAAGGCCCGAGGCGCCGCAGCGGGCGCGCTCCTCGGACCACATCGGGACCAGGGAGTCCACGAGCTGCAGGTCCGGGCCGGCTTGCGACAGCGGCACGCGCACGGCGCGCGACCTCGGAAACATCCAAGAGCGGAGAGTTGGAAAGGCAGGGGTGCAGGCGTAGATCTTCAAAAGGCCAGTCCAGGCTTGAGCGGGAAAACAAGCAGCGAACAAGGCATGAGGCGCAGGATGATGCCCACAGCGTCGATGTGTGTTTGTGCCGACAACGAGGTAAGCGCGGCGGATCACCAGATCATCCCAAGGCAGCTTAGAACACCAGAGCATCACCTGTTGAGGATGTGATCTACGCAGGCGTCCCCCTCCAGGGCGCAGCAGCTCTGGCGAGCGGGCGCTACCCTAAGACCAGGGGCAAGCAATACGCAAAGGTATGTGGCTTGGTGGCCGCGGCCTCAGGGGAAGTCGAGCAGTCACGTGGCTTTGATGGGCATGGAGACTCGGGCTGTGTGCGCGCCGGCTGGCCATGTCAGCAATCCATGCTGATGCTCGGCGGCAGACACAGCAGACGCCCCCAGTGTGCAGGCGTGCACGCGCATACGTGCAAGCACATATCAATGTGACAGCGAGTGATGCGGATACGCCCCCCACCTGGGCAGGTGCGAGCCCGAGGCCGTCACCGCCGCGGCCCACGACAACTCAGGCGGGACCGTCTCTGCCGTCCAAACCGCCGCCTGCGGTCGCTGGCTCGCCGGGAGGGACCCGCCGCCGCCGCTGCCGCCGCCCCCCGACTGCGGGGCCGGCGGGCAGCCCGGGCCCGCCTGCTGCCGCGGTGGCGGCGCGATGACCGCGCCCTCCGCCACCCAGTAGGACGCGCCGCCGCCGGCCTGGGACGCAGCGGCCGGCGGCGTTGCTGGGGGCTGGGGCGTGTGCGGGGACGCCCCCGGCGGGGGCGTCTGGGCGCCGTCCGGCGACCCAAGGGGCGGCGGCAGGGGGTCTCGGAATAAGAGGTGGCTGAGGTTTATGTGGCCCATTCCGAGCAGATTGAAATCGATCTGAGACGTATGGGTTTGGGCGGAAGCGTGGTGGGAGGGGGGACGAAGTCTCAGCGGGAACGGCTATTTAATAAGAGGTGGGAGAGGGCGCAACATGGTAGCGACAGGGCGAGCCAAACCTGGAGAGGGCAGTCAATGATTGGTCACTGACCCCATCCTGGAATTGACAAGAAATGTCAGGACCATCTCAGAGGCGCTGACCCCTCTGAACCCTTCCCCCAAAAGCAATGAATTGTGTTCGTCGAGGAGTCAGTACACAGGAAATCAACACCGATGCAATGAGAGCCCGCGCCTTGATCTGCAGCAAGAAGGGGATATGGCTCTCGTAGGGCTGGAACCGCCGCCCCAGGCACGCGCCGCCCTGCAGCAGCGTCGCGGCGCGGCCGATGTCCTGGGGGTTGTACCTAGCAGGTGCCACGGGCGCGCAAAGAGGGAGGCGGCCAAATCAAATGCTGAAGGGCGCATGGCAGATCCCCTTGTGGCGAGCCGGCGGCTGTGAACGGCACCGCTGCCGTTCCGGCCCCGACAATCACGCATTTTGAGCCCCGAGCGCTGCAGTGCTCCCAACCGCCCCCAACTGCCCCAAAACGCCCCCAACCTCCCCCAACTGCCCCTATCCGCCGCGGCTCACAGCACAATCTTGATGAAGGGCCGCTCCTCCGGATGGTACCCGTACATAGGCAGCGCCCGCACCAGCGCCAGCGCCGCGACCCGCTGCCGCTTTGCCCCTGCCTGCTGCCTGTTCGGCTGCTGTTGCTGGTTGCTCTGCTGCTGCTGCGGCGGCGGCGCCGCCGCGCCGGGCGCGTGGCCGCCGGGCGCCGAGGCGAGGTGCAGCGCGGCTTCGATGGAGGAGCCCAGGCGGCGTAGGAAGCCAGCAGCTGTGGAGGGGGGGGCGGGGCCGAGCGCGGAAAGGGCAGAGAAGCCGTTCAGTGGCAGCGGAATTTGCATGGGGGTGAGGGGCGCGTCAGTCGTGCCATGGGCCGTTGGGGTCGGGGATGTGCTGGGCGCATTTCAGTTTGCCCAGCTGCCAGCCACGCACCTTCGGCCGCGTCTGTCGGCAGGTCGTCATCGTATGGCACGTAGAAGTAGGGGAATGCCTGCGATGATGCGAGAGCGCATCGTCGTGCCGCTGCTCTGCCGTGCGCATGGAGAGGCGTGCCCAAGATTTCGCCCCCGGCCACATGCAGCAGCTGCAGCAACAGGAGCATGGGCAGTGGCACCCGAGTGCCACCGCCGCACGAACGCGATCGGGTGCTGTACCTACCCTGTGAAGATGCAGGCAGCACTTTTGGCCGGCCGGCGTTGCACCAAAAATACGAACTACGGGGACTTTGTCGACTGCAGTGCCCTCCAAGCTCGAAAAGCAGACGTCCAGCCCAGGTATGGGCACGCCCATGTAATAGTCAAGTGATACAATGCGCAGGGAGAACGCGGGCGCCTGCTGCATTGTGATCTTGGCACTGGCTCATTGGCGCCCCGTTATTTGGTCACTACATCCTGGATACACTCGGCTGCCAAGTACTATGATAATTGACCGGTGTGAGGTTCTGATAGGCTGTCTGCTAGTAGGTTGCCAAGTGTTGTTGTAAAGCCGCATCGCCAGCCACGCTGCGCGTGCTGGGTGGGGTGTCAAGCCAGTGTGTCACTGCGCAGGGCGCCGCAAGCTGACATGACGGCGTGACATCAAGGCTTTTCCAATGTTTCGGGTAATCACTAACATGTTGTCCTCCATAGCAGTGTTCTGTGGCTTGTCTGGTGATGACTGGCGCCGCCTGCATGGCATATGGACTCGCTCCACTGAACAATACGGTACATGCAGGCGCTGCCCAGTGCCACTTGGCGTTGCTTCCCGTGCGTGCTGTGAGCCTGTTGATGCTGCGGCTGCCATGGCGAAACGCTTTCGAGCCGTTTGACTGCGCCGGTGCGGCCTGGCACGGCGGCGTTTTTGAGGTCATGAGCGCGCCTGATCCCTGGTCAGCCCCGCCCTGGCGGGTGGCTGGCAGACGGACGTCATCAGGCCCGCACTGCCGTCCCCAAGCCGCTCGTACCCCTGTGGCATCAGGATGTGAAGGACGCCGCAGCCCGTCCCATGCTGCATGTGGTGCTGAATTACGTATGCTTACATTGTAAACGGCCAGCTGCAACATCATACGACAGCAGGAGGCAGTAGTTGATCTTGAAAAGCAGCACAAGGGCGACACGGCAAAAAGGAGGCCAGGGGCAATCAGGGCAGACCTACCAGCCGCACAGGGGCGCCAGCAGGCGCCACACAGCATGGCATGAGGCGCGCGTGTCGCGCCGACAGAGCAACTCGTCAAGGGCAGCCCTTCGCAGGCGCAGCATCGGGGCCGCACAGCCAACCAGCTCAAAGCTTGCGGGGCGTTCAGGAAGAAAAGAAGGGTCAGGTGCATGCACAAGACAAATGAAGCCCGATCTCGCCAGCACTAAAAACAAAGCCGTGAAGACTGCAAGCAAGCTGAAAGCCCAGCCGCTGCACGCACGCGTGCGCGCCCGCCGCCGCAGGGCGCGTGCGCTGACGAGCGGCGGCCGAGGGCGCTGGGCGCACACAGTTGAAATCGGGGGGGGGGGGCGGCGGCCTTGCGTGCGGTAGCCCTGTACAGTTGTCCATGTGCATAGTGAGGGCGGCGACGCCCTGCGATGCCAAGGCCCACAAGCCGGCAGGCGTCAGCAGCAGCAGAAGCGCAGGAGTCAATTCGTAATGGCAAAGCGCGCGCGTCGGCAGCGGCCCGCATCGCATCGCGCCTGCGGCGCCGTCGCGGGGCCGCGCGGCCCGCGCCGGTCGGGGCCGCAGGCATGCAAGCCACGAGCGGATTGACGGCAAGAGTGGCAGGCAGGGGCTGGCGTGACCAGCAGCAGCAGGTAATGCAGCCGCAGGAGGGGGCGCCACGTGCCCGCTGACCTGCCGGTCGGACCGGCGCATGCAGAGAGCATCGAATGGAGGCAGCCGCGCGTCTCCTGGCACAAGCGGCCGCCTACGCCCCCGCGTCGGAGCCAGGCGCGCTGCGGGCGCCGGCAAACCACGCCTCTTCCTCTTCCTGCGCCCCGGGCGCATCGGCCGCCGCAATCTCCGAAGAATGGCCGGCGCCGCCGCCGCCGCCCTCGAAGCCGCCGCCGGCGGACGCAAACGCGGCCGTCTCGCCGTACGGCCGCGGCGTGGGCGGCCCCGACCTGGACGGGGGCCGCGAGCCTGGCTGCTGCTGGCGGAAAAAGTCAGACGCGAGCAGCGGCTCCCGCGCCTGCTGCAGCGGCCCCCCGCC